AATTACTCACCCTTGTGTTGTTCGAAACCCGTAAGACCTTCGTTCATCTTCGGAACACAATTTAAGATGTTTTTGATGAAATATGAGGGCTCTCTGACCCTCCCATAGACAGTAAGGTAACTACCACGTTCAAGGTCCAGAAATTTTCGTCTCTACTGCGTCACTTTGGACACGCGTTCATGTCATCACACCGGATCTGGGTCAGCACAGGCGCCGCCACACGCTCGCGTGAGTGAACAACACGAGGGTGAGTAATTAGTGACAGAATTTTCATTTTTGGGTGAACTAACCCTTTAATGTGTGCATGCAAAAATCCATTATGAAAGCAAGTTATAATAGCCATTGTTTAAATGGTTATATTTCAACAACAAATTGAAGTAGAAATGTGGTTAAAAAGCCACCAACAGAAGTTTAATACTCAGCATCGTTTAACATATTTAAATCAGTTCCACAGAAATCTGCAGATTCTCTCCAAAATCATCACTGGCTAATGAGGAAACGAGAAGACCAACCTCTCGTAGTGTCTTCGTGTGCACGTGGCGGCGCTGGTGCTTCCCGGGTTGCCGCCCAGTTCATCATATACACTTTTCCACTGTCTGCGTGCTGTGATCTGAAATGAGAAGTGCGAGTTTATTATGAGTGACAAGGACGTTCATGTAATGGATGTGTGCATGAAGCAGAAATGAAATGAACACTGATATTAGCATTCCACTATTCATGCATTCAACATTTATGTTGGGCTTTCTTTATTGTGGAATGATGAAAATAAGAGGGTCACTTGATGCATATTAAACAGATCCCGTAAGCTTTATACTTATTAAACGACACCGAGCGCATGATGTCCCACGCAAGGTCATAAGATTGAGTATTGATGTATGCAGACTCTTAACCGAATAGAAAAAAAGAAAACACATACTCGATTAACATAATTCACATACACAGCGATTAATATTTATGAGAGACCTTTAGTGCATTCACCGTACGAGGGTTAAAATATTTTTAATGGCCGTTTCCCGCAGCTAACGGCTGCCTCTCTCAATAAAATGCATTCTGTGGAAAACCACATGCATCAAGTGCTGGGAAATTAATGCATGTGCGATTTAGTCGCCCAGGCCAATGTATTCACCACAGACTAGTTACAACACAAATAAGTACAATATTCTCACAGTGTTGCGGAGTACAGTATGACTTGATGTCCACGGAGACCAAATCACGATTCAAATGTAGAAACACTTCAATTAAAATACCGTCGACCATGTGCTCTACTTTCCATCGGTAATTTGACTCATTGAGTAGGGCATCTGCCGTCTCCTCCGGCGTTTAATGAAGCATTTGCAGTTTTGACAGCATGAGAACAGAATCGCCCGTGGCCTCCGCTGCCTTCTCTAAACTCCCTCAGTCATAATAGCCCTTGACTGCTGTTTGTTTTAACATGGCCATTGTGTACGGCAGGTTTTTGGGTCCGGAGTACAGTAGCGGTTTCAAAACACAGTCAAGTACAGTTCAACCGCAGGAGAGGAGTTTAATCTGATCTTTTTGAGCAATGTAAATGTTTCCAATGACGTCATGGCTCCTCCTGCACGATGATTTTCATTACAGATGTCAGCTGCATTTAAAGCCAAGCTTTCTGTGGCAAAGACAACGTGAGCAGCCAGGGGACATAGAAATGACAGAGAAAGGCAGGCAGCGGTATCAATACGCAAGAAGTGGCTTCCTGTTTGCTCTTAATCTAAACAGCTTCAACGCTGATGAATGAATGCCGAAAATATCGAATAGCTGGTCGCGTAGAAGGGACTTTAATGTTTTCACCATACTTTCGCAGAGCAGATGTCAGATAAGCTGCCAAGTGAATTCCCTTTATTGCGCACTTCGCTCGTTGCACAATAATGGTCCCTTAAGAGCCTAAACATGGGTAGTGAACAGGCCCCAACCAATTTCCTCCACCGCAAAAGGGTTACACGTGTTTTCCACTTGTAGATTTTATAACAACTGCGAGCGATCTGGCCAAATTTGGATCTGAGAGAGTTCCGCATCCAGGCCAGAGTCTAGTAAACACACATTACACGGCAGGCCGGAAAAAAAAACCGAAACTCTTGTTTTTCAGGAATCTTTCAGAGCCAAAGGAAAAATCGTGCTGCCAACGGCACTGGATTTCAAACAAATCGTGTAAACACTCACCACCTCGTATCCTCCCAGTTTCTGAGCCGCTTGAAACATAGTCCAAAGGTTTACTGTAAGAAGGATAACAAGGATGACGATTAGTTCCACAGGAGAGCGGAGGGAAGCGTTTACATCGGCTGTATTCGGGATAGCATACTACTGTAGTGTACACTGTGCATGTTAAGAGAATTTTCCCGGGCATGAAACAGCCGGATGACCTGCTATATGCAAAAATGTGCAGTATGCACTACTGTATCCCACAATGCAATGTACTCAACTTTCAACTTGACCTTCCATTTTAAGTGTGGTCATACGACTGGAAGTAATTACAGCCATGTTTTTAACATCCCATTTCACTCATTATTTGATCCGACTGCTAGAAGGTAAGACAGTTTTACACTAAATTAAATTAAAAAAGGGCAAAATCGTTTCAATTTGGAAATGATAATTGGACGCCAAAAATAATGAGGTCATGTGGCTTTAATGTAACATATTACTGTTTAAAATTGTCAATTGAAGTCAGTTTTATTTGGATAGTGATTTCACAATACACATCATCTCAAAGCAGCTTTACAGAAAATGATGATGCTAATCTTTATAATATCTTAATATCTTCAGGCCTTTAGCAGATTAGAGCTGGGCAATTATATTACATCTTGAGATGATATAAACAATCAAGCAGTTGAGATTTGCTACAGTATATATAGTAATGCATAGTTTTTACAAACTACTTTTTAAAGAATAGTAGGCAGTACTGTATATACACACTCTTGCAGAAAAAGGTTATTTGTTTCAATCTTTGGTTCCATGAAGAACCTTAAACATCCATGGACACATTCCATTGTAGAAAAGGTTTTTTAGATTAGGAAAATGTTCTAAACACTAAAAATGGTTAATAGAGATTTATACAGTGATGCCGTAAAACAGGGATCCTCAAATCTGGCCCACGAGATCCACTTTCCTGCAGAGTTTAGCTCTAACCCTAATCAAACACACCTGAGCAAGCTAATCAATGTCTTCAGGATCATTAGAAAATCACAAGTAGGTGAGTTTGATCAGGGTTGGAGCTAAACTCTGCAGCACATTGGCCCTCCAGGGCAAGATTTGAGGAACCCTGCCGTAGAAGAACCATTTTGGGTTCCCTGAAGAACCTTTCTGTTCTGAAAAGAACCATTATTGTCTTAGTGTGAAGAACATTAGAATAATCTATGTGCAATGAAAAGGTTCCATGGATTTTTAAAGTTCTTCAAGACTTTAAGAGTGTTATTTTAAGAACTATTTACTGAAAAGTTCTTTGGGGAACACAAAACGGTTCTTCCTTCCTTTTGGGAACCCTCCTTTATTTTTAAGTGTATAGTAGTGTATACTGTGTAGCATATAGTACGCTAGTATTCCATTCCGAACACAGCCATACTAACACATTCTTCCAATCAATTGAACATCAAATTAAAACATGACTTGAAACGCTTGTCAACAATCCATTCCCCACCGTTTAATTTTCGCTATATGAATACTAATGCTAAGCAGGGGAGAGAGTGAGCGAGAAAGAAAAAAAAAAGATGAAACTAAATAAATTTGTGTCAGTTTAATGAAGCAGAGCTGTGCCACATTTATGAATAAGGCACAGCAGAAATTAATGAGGGTCTTTGCTGCTGGGGGACTAATCAATCAAGATTCAATCGCCACACACACAAAGCCGCTGCATTTGTCAGAGCGGTGTTTGTCTGTCCTTATATCTTGCAGTATTGATTTTTGCCTCCTCCCAATAGCTACTTCTGATGGACTGTCGGGTTACAGGGCGAGTTGTTTTTAAGTCGGCTGAATGACATTAAACTTACAGCCGAGCGCTGCTCTCTCTCTCTGACACTTTGATACATCAGTAATGGCACAAATACTACTGAAAAAATGTGCAAAGATTGTACCTTTAGGGGTACAACAGCTTGTCACTGGGGCAGTAGCCTTAAAGGGACAACTTTCTAACTTATCTACCTCGAAAAGGTGCCTATAAGTACTGTGGAGTCTTTTTATTTTACATTCTTGGACATTTTTTTTTGGTCTGTTCCCACTGGTATTTCCTTTCTTCATGCATTTTTGTCTCTCTATATATTTTTAGATTTTAGTTGGCATAATATTAAAAAACTGGTCCCCATGTTCAAACTTGAACCAACCTTGTTACCATTTTTTTTTTTTTTATCATTTTACATGAATGTAAGATGATATATATTTTAAATAATTATTCAAGAAGAGTTCTCAGGCTTTTAATTTTATCTTATATCTTGTTTTGTTTGTAAACAATTAAAAATTGTAAACAATTTTATTGTAAACAATTAAAAATGTAAAAGTAAACATTTGTAAAAAAATATCCGTTTTTGATTTTCTAAGCATCACATTGTAATTAATCTGTGAAACTGTCAACCATGTTAATGTCAACTCTGTTACATTTCTGAAGGCATAATTATCTATTAAACATCTATTAAAATCCACTAAAGGATTAGTTGACCCAAAAACAAAACAAAAAATCTGTCATTGTGCAATTTCAAACCCATAGGATTTTATTAATCTTTCAAACACAAATCAAGATATTTTTTAAATGAAATCTGAGAGATTTCAGCCCCTAATTTAAAAGTCCATTTACCCAAAATTTGGAAGCTTTAAAAAGTTCATAAAGAGATCATAAAAGAAATGCAGTGGTTTAATCAAGTCTTATTACATGATTGTGTCTCTTCAAATGATGAACAGATTTAATTTAGCCTTTTATTCGCATAAAAACACTGATCAATGCACATCAGACATGGTAAACAGCAGCTCAAACATGCTAGCTTTATGCATGAGAACCACTGAGGTTTGTTCAGCTGAGCTTCTGTTTACCATATTTAATATACATTGATCAATGTTTTTATATGAATAAACTAACAAAGTGTTCATTTTTGAGTGAACTGTCCCTTTAATTTAGCTTGACATGGCACAGTGCAATTTATAAACACTTCATTAAACATCACTTGTTGGATAGAGAAGTTGAAAACATAATTTTGTTGCATAACAATCTTAAGCCAGAAGATCGATGCCTGATTCCCTTTCTTACTGCTTTCATAGAAGAATGAATCATCTTCTACAAGAAGTGTGTGTCACACCATACAAGGTTAAAAAAGGTTTATAGTGACGAGCGCCTCTAGTATGAATAAGAACATGGCAAAGTACATCGCATCTGCTCTCTGGGCTCACGCAGAGACTCCTACACTCATGTGTGCATCTTGACGTAGGTCAAATATGTTCCTATTTGATCACGATAACCGAAAATGATCCTTCTATATAAAATGCAAATAATAGGCTTCACAGTCAGTAAACAGATCTATTCCTTAACTTTATAAGGCAGCATGCCAACTCAAACAAAACCATTGGTGCTTATACTAATGGTGCTTAAAGTTAATTCCAATAAAGTTTGGTGTTAGCATGTTGCTAAGCTAACGACGTAATACTCTAATTAGCAGAGTTAATATATACAATACAAAAAGATAATTGTATTTGCAGTATACATTGATTCTAAATTATATTTCTTGAGTCAATTTTGTTCACCACACATTTTTGTGTGCATTCTGGATTAGATAAATATAGTACATGTGGCAAAATGAGGAAATCCGCATAACTTTGTAGCCTAGTTTGGCATGATACAAACAATTTTTATTTAGCAATGTGCAAAATCACGAATATATAGACATATGAGATGTGGCTTGTACATATTTCTATTCAGTAATTCGATGTTTTTTCCACTGACAACAGGGTTGAAAGTCAAGGGCAAAGATTATGAATAATAAAATCTCTGCTTTCTGCATTTAGACAGTAATAGATTGCATGCATACTTTGAACTTCGTGAACCTAGGAGAGGAGGTAATTCTGACTTTGCTATGACAATCTGGCGCTTCTGCATCAGCTACTGTTTTGTTATTATTTTAAGTATTTGCTATTGACTGTTCAAATGCAGAGTTTTGCGCATTGTGTGTGTGTGCGCGCACGCGTGTGTGTGCGAGCGAGCGCGAGAGAGAGAAAGAGAGAGAGCGAGAGAGAGAGAGAGAGAGATCGAGAGAAAGAGAGAGAGAGAGAGCGAGACACATCACAGTGGAGTCAGCTGTCTTAACCGTGGCTTGTGTGCTGCAAACACATATTCATCACTGTGTCTGTCACGAGACTCTGTTCCCCTTTCGGGCTCTGTCTTTACATTTATTTTGAAAGATGAAGCTCGCGATTATGGTAAGGGGCGTTACATTTCCGACGAGTGCTTGCGGTGTTCGGCCAATCACAATGCACTGGGTCAGCTGGCCAATCAGAGCAGACTGCGCTTGTCGGAAGGAGGGACTTTGTAGAAAACGAAGCGTTTGAGAGAGGCGGGGCATAGAGGACTTACAATAATGTACAGTATTTGAAAAATAATGTGTTTTTTGAACATTAAAGCATGTCATCATATTCTGTTACACCAAATACACAAAATAATGATCTTTAAAAAAGCATCATATGAGCCCTTTAAAGGGACCTGGAGAGTTGCCTGGAAATAATTGTATTTGTACTCTCTTTAAATTATGTTGACCTACTTTGCAACTTTAAATCATAAATTACAAATTTTTGCTGTTTTGGGTCACTGTGAACACTGCAGGATGTTTAGTGTGAACTAAATGGACACAATGTCAAAAATAAAAATCTCTTGTGTCTTTTCAAACCCATATTTATTTTTTCTTCTGTGGTACATTATGTGACACAAAATTTGATGTGAGTATCATTAACGGCAAAGGTCATTAGTTCTTGCAATGCCACATGACTGCAAATGTGATCAGAGAGCTTCAATATACAGCTTGACTGAATAAATCACCATGTATCTCGTATACATTTTTTTCCCCCCGGACATTCTAACTAAGATATACCTTTGTGTTTCACAGAAGAAAGAAGATCATGTTTAATTGATAGCAGAATTTGCATTTTTTTGTGAAACAGATACTTCAGAAACATGCTTGCCATTCATTTCATGGAAGTGACACATATTTGTTCTCAAGTAGTCTCAAGTAGTGCTTGAGATTTCCAGAGCTCTGTTATGGAGGAGGAAGTGAAGAAGCTGCACTTACTCTGTTTGAAGCCCAGGTACGGTATCCTCTCAATGGGAGTTTTCCTGTCTTTCATGTACTTATACAGTGCCACCAGGAAGGCCTGCTCGTCTGTGCGGCACTCCTCACCCATCTCCACCTTCGGGTTATCCTCGGGCGAAACTTTTTTACAACTGCTTCCGCTGCTGGTGTTCCGGGGCTTGGACACTCCTGATTTTGAGTCGCCCTTAATCTAAACACCACACAGCAAAGAAACATATTTAATCATATTGAAAAGCACGCTTGGTCTGTCATAGCATAGGTGAATAACATCAGAATTACGGCATCAGAAAAATATCAAAAGATTGCATTTTTTACATCAGTGGTTCTCAACAAGTGGTGTTTCATTTGTGATTAAATCAGTGGTTTTGAATTCATCTTTTTTTTAGCTTTACCACTGGAAGAAAAATAATTTTCTTAATAACTATTATTGTCTTCTTCTCCAGTAACATTGTCAAAACATCCCTGAAGCAGGATAATCATCACTGTATTGTTTTTGCACTAACACAACTCATTTTCACTAGATTCATGCTTACGAATTTGCCACTGGGGTCAGAAAAATACTTAACACTAAATTCAAGATTTTAAGGTTATTCAATTTTAATTTGTCTTGTTTTAAAGAAGCTATTTAGATGTACGCTACCGTTTGGTGTCCGTAAGATGTTTTTAATATTTTAAAAGTCTCTTATTCTCATCAAAGCTGCATTTATTTGATAAAAAATACAGTAAAATTATGAAATATTATTACAATTTCAAAAAATAATGATTTCTATCTGAATATATTTTATGTAATTTATTCCTGAAATGGCAAACCTTAATTTTCAGCAGTCTTCTGCTTAAGAAATATTTCTTATGATAATCAATGTTGAAAACAGTTGGGCTGCTTAATGTTTTTGTGGAAATCATAATTTTTTTTCAGGATTATTTGATGAATAAAAATGTATTGCTCAATTTAATACACCCTTGTACTAAAAAGAAGCACCAATTTCCTTAACATTTTTTTAAAATTTATATTTATTTATTTATTTACTAACCCTAAAGTTTTTGAACGGCCCTGAAAAAAGGTCAAAAATACATATCAAAATTATTTATTTTTTTTTGTCCAAAAAAACAAAAATCAAAACCTGCAAACCACCAGCTAAGAACTGCTGGTTTACATACTGATTGTTTTCAGTTCCGGAAAAAAAAAATATGTGGCGTAAAAATAGATGCTGTGCATTTCCTCAATGCCACTGCAAGCTCTCACTTAAAACACTTAAAATAGCTTGTTCTGACCCAGGAGTGAGTGTCTGAGAACTGTTCTGGAGTCAGTTTTACAGTTTCAGGCCCCACCATGCTGTCACATGCTGCAGTCATCGCTGGCCCACACACGTCTGTTTAGCCATCTGTTCCCAATAATCAAGAGCATTTATTTTCCAAAAGGAGTTATCAAGGCCAGTGGAATATGTGAACAAATACAAAAAAAAAGTCAAAGAAAGAAATGCTGAAGCATTAGGTTACATTGACATGAACTAAACAATCCCTGGAAGCAGTATAACATGCTTTTTGAAGTATATGTGTGCGTGTTCTATATCATATGAGAGCAACTGCAAAAACAAAAACCCTTTGTTTTTAATGAGAATTCATTTTTTTATTCAGGCCAAATTATTCTGATTGAAATACAGTTCTTTTTGTTGCACACCAAAGATTTACACCCCAGTGGTGTTCCATGGAGGATCATGACTCTCATTCGAATTGTGAGGTAAAGATCCCCATCCCGAGTAAAGCAGCTGATGGCATTCCGAAAGACCTTGAACCACATTAGATCACATCACAGTCAGGGCCGGTTTAGATCACAGCATGTTTTCAAGGTTCTCAACAAAGCTGGAGTGAATTAGCTGCTGTTTTGCCAAACAAATATTCATCCAGACAAGGAAGATCATAAAACACTGCCCTCATGCTGGCAGGAGAATGGACAGGAAATGACATGTAGGGGCAAAGGTTAATAAAATAACACGAAGAAAAACAATTGAAGCCCATTAGTCAAACATGGGAAACTGAAGAAACAGTAACACTAAATGCCAAACAACAGGAGGAGGGGGAAAGTGCTTCAGATTGATGGACTGAAACTGAGGCTAAGCTGCTCATAACTAACAACTAATAAAATAATTATGCACTGAAAAACATGCAGAAATGAAGGATGACCTGTATATTTGTGACCAAGGGCCCTATCATACACCTGGCGCAATGCGGTGCCAGGCGCAACAGTGTATTTTGCTAGTTTCAGCCCGACGCAGTTGTCATTTTCACGTCCTGCGCCACGTTGTTTAAATAGCAAATGCATTTGCGCTCATTTGTGCGCCTATGGGTGTGCTGTTCTGAAAACGAGATGTGTTCAGGCGCATTGCTGGCGCGTTGCTATTTTGAGGCACCTGAAATAGACCACGCGATTGACCAACAAAAACCTGGTCTAAAGTCTGGCGCAATATTTTTTCTTTGTTATTTAAAGAGCGCGTTAGTAATATGCGCCTATAGACGGGTGCACAACGCGCGTACACTTTGCTTATTACACACACAGGGACGCGCAGCAGCATACAAACATTAAAAAAAAATGAAAAATTAAATTCCGCTATGTAAATAGCGAACCCGCCATGGCGCGAGCGCAACTGGCTTTTAAAGGGAATGGGAGATGAGACTCTGATTGGTTTATTGCACGTTATGCCCAAAACACACCCATTACTCATTAAGAGAATTAGGGACTACCCTTTTAGACCATGCGCCGGGAGCGCTGACCGTTTTTCCCGTCGTTAAACTAGCAAAAGTGGATTTGGACATGCACTAAGTGCACCTGCGCCGTGCTCTTTAGACCATGCGCTTAGATCGTTAAAATAGGGCCCCATGTAAGTAATGGACAATAATAATGTTTTGAAATTGTCCGCATTGGATGATATTGGAAGCTGATAATATGTAGGCTTATTTAATTCATTAATTCATTTAAAATGTAACCAGTGTACTGTTATTTTATAGCCATTTTCAAACAAAATAAACTATTCTTTTTACCTATTCTTTAAATTTACTCTATTTTTAACTATTCTTTTCTAAATTTATTATTGTTTTATTTTTGTTCTAAATTATCCAGCTTCTATAGCAGTGTGTTAGTTTATTTTATTAATTAATTTTACTTTATACATTTATTATAAATTAAAATATTTTATTGATTCGTGAATTCATGAAAACTTGTGTAAAATTAAGGTTTTCAAACAGTATGTTGTTCTTTTATAGCAGTTTTCAAAAGACTATATAGAACTAGAAGATAAACGATTATTTTTTAGCTTTATTATTTTATGATGTCATTTTTGTCCTAAATGATCCCGTTTCTATTGCAGTATATTAGCTTATTTTATAAATCAATTTTACTATTTTTATTTAGTATTATATATATCAACTTATTATAAATTAAAATATTTAAGTACTGTATAATACATGAAAACTTTTTTCAAGCAGTATATTGTTCTTTTATAGCAGTTTTCAAAAGAAATTTTAACCTGTACTATTATTAGGGTTGGGTATCGATTCAGATGTCCCGATTCGATTCGATTTCGATTCGCAAGCGCTCGATTCGATTCGATTCTCGTTTTTTTGATTACATTCAGTGAATATAGTTTTAATACAAATGCTATTGATATTTCTAAAAAATGAACAGTAAACATCAGTTTACAAATGGTGAATTAATAAAAAGAAATTAAGAACCACATGCCTGTATTTTAAACCTATTCTTTTTTTTTTTAAACAATAATATTACTTTAAACAGCTAATGAAATGACTCTCAGAGCCGCTGGAGATGCCATTCGTGTTCATATCATCATATAGTGAGATGGCAGAAGCTGAAAACACCGCGAGCGTCATCCGCGCTTTAGTAGTAGTAAACAAAACAGTGCGCCGCGCCATCCGCTATTCATTCATTACAGAAATCATGGAGCCTTATGCGTGATATCAAATGCTTCCGCAGATTTATAGTATTACTATAGCATTTCACCTGAGCATTGCGAATCACGCGTATGGCCATGATAAGCGCTGAATGAATGACAGGATTTCTGTTGTAACATCGCGCAAGGTAAATAAGGGTGACATCTAGTGGAGAAGACTAATGATAAGATTCACGTTAATCAGATCTTGTTTTAAATGTGTGCTGAAATAAATACCGGAAAAGATGATTCGCGGCTTTTGAGAATCGATATCAAATCGACGTCATTTTAATAAACGATTAATCGAAAAATATTATATTAATTTATTTTTGTTTTAAATTATACCTTTTATATATCAGGTTTATTATTTTATCAGCAGTATATTAAGTTAATTATTTTATTAATTACTTTTTTATTTAATATGTAGTGTAAGCATTACATAATAAATGTATAATTAATACACTTATTATAAATTCAAATATTTTTTTTACGGTAAAATTCATGTAAAACTTGCATTTTAGTGTGCTTTCATAGTTCTTTTTTATATATATTTATTTCACAATAGTAAATATTTATAACATCAGCCATTGTATGACTTGCTGAAATGGGCAGTTTCTATGGTGTTTTCTACACAAACATTCCTGGAAACTGCAGTGCATGATGGTCAGACAGTCTTCTCATGTTTTACTTCTTCTGCAAAGTGGACCAGACCTTATGCTGATAGTCGAAAGCCTGGCTCTGGGACACCAGATTTCATTAATAATATGAAAATAATTATCTTGTCATTTGTACAGACCACAACTTCAACATCTGTGTATTTCTACAGCCCACCTTGACTAGAGACTTGCCCTCCATACCGTTGGTCTCTCTGGCAGTACCGCCCTGCCCCTGCGAGTCTCGCCGCTGGGAGATGGAGAGCTTCTTCTTCCGGGGCCGGCCCTTCAGGTTGGGTGCTATGGACAGCAGAAGAGTAGTTAGAGCGGTTACTGACAGCCATATGCACCCACAGCCCATAGAGAGCACTGACGTCTGCTCACTGCACTATAGCACAAATAGGGAAACATGACAACAGCCATGTCTGCGGCTGACACACATAGACTACAGCCAGCATAGTTCCACCAATTGGCGGCTTGACAAGTGATCCCTGGAACCATTCCAGTGACTTACATTGCTTTAAATTATATATCATCCTCCTTCATTCTGGATATTTGTTCCATTGAATGGCACTCAGGACTTAATTATCCTGAGACAAGGTCAAAACGCTGTCTGCCACTGTTACAGGCATTCTTGATCATCAGTTCCAAATCATTTTCATCATTATATTGGCCTCTAAGCAAGAATGTTAGATAATACACATTGTAATGGTAAAACAATTCGCAGAATGACAGGATGTCAACAACCGGAAAACTCAAACAGAACCTGAAGGGCAAATGAATAAAATCACTAATACATCGTCATCACGGCTCAAAATAACAGCGCAACTGGAGGTGCAACTGGGTCAGCCTTAAAAAGTCGTTCATCCAAAAATAAAAATTCTGTCAGTATTTGCTCACACATGTTGTGTTAGATATTCCCTAATAGTCCAACTTTCTATTCAACATGGCACAGCTTACGCCTATGAGGCATGTGCCACTTCACCACTTCTTTTTGAAAGCCATATTTCTATGGTTGTAAATTCTACACTCTTAAAAATAAAGGTTCTTTATTGGCATCTGTGGTTCTTTGAAGAAACTTTAACATCCACAAAACCCTCTCCACTGCACAAAAGGGGAGGAAAAAGATCCTTCAGATTACTTAAATGTTCTTCAAACTGACTGTTTGAGTTCACCTCTAAAACTGAATGTCATTATTTGCCTTCATATTTCATACATCTTATCTGCAAAGATATCTAACCAGTGAATATGCTTTACATTTACACCATGTTGACCAATGGCAGTGCACTTAGAATAGAGCTTTCTTTAACCAGATTTAATAGAGAATCTGGGAATAGAGAATAGAGTTTTTTTAATAGAGAATGTTGCTTTTTGTAATCATTTGGTAGTTACATTTTGAAGTTGACTAGATTTACATAAAAAATTGTCAAAATCAAAATCATCAAATATTATACAAGAAGAAGAAGAAAAAAGAAGAAGAGGAGATTTCATTTTTTGCCATATCGCCCAGCCATATTCCTGTGAAATCTATTTACAATATAGTCATTTTTGCTTAAGGTCATTACAATACCAAATTTTTCATATACCATTACAATTTTATAATTCTTGACACCAATTTTGATATCACAGCAATAAATAATATTAGCCTAACTAATATAAAAATTTCTCAAACTTACTGAAGACAGCTGGTAATAAAGTAAGAACAACCAAAAAGAAAAAAAACCTAATTAAAAGCAATAGAACAAAGACATGAAATGAAATGAAATAGAGTGCTTTAGGTTTTGGAATTAGGTCCACCTAACTAACATATAGGAAATAATATAGAAATTGAATAAAGTAATCAAATATAAAATAAACCACTGCATAGTCCTCACCACATTAATTAAAAATACCACAATTCCTATTAAAGCTACCAAAGTGATTCAGCCAAGAGCAATGAGTGATTTTCACTTTTACTTTTGTGGTTTGATTAACATTAAAGACACTTTAAGACCTAATGCATGGATCCAGTATACTGCATCGATGCAAATCAAACATAACTGACTGTGAATATGTGAATACTTGCAATAAGACAGTCATTTTGACATAATTTGTATGTATTTGTCCATTTACGTGCATTTATTTAAAAGTGTGCACACAGAAAACCGTCTGACAGACAGCATGCAATAACCGTATTAAGTTTCTTTTGTGACTTATCCTAAACTACCTTCTTTCTTTCGGGGTCAGAGGAAAATCAAATGTTGCACATTTCTAGTTTCTAAAAGCCCCTTGTGCACCTGACGAATGCCATCAAAGCATCACCAGCATCAAGCTGGAAAACGACAAGCACAAGCGAGAGTTCAAACTCGGCGCAGCGAGAGGCAGGCGGAGCTTTTGACACCAGGACAGGTGCTCTCGAGCACAGGTTCAGTCAGGTCAGCCGCCACTGCATTCCATGTGCGCGGATGATTAAATCATCGTCAAGGTTACGACGGGCCCAAGGCTGCGGCCACAGCGCTACACTTGATCTTCCAACAAACTAGCAGCCTGATCTGCTGTGGGAAAAGAAAAGAAAGCATTAACTAATCAGCTGGAGAAGAGCTTCTTTTCTTTTCTTTTTGGGTTCTTTTCTCAAGCCGCCGCCTTTTTGCATCAAATTTGGCGCATGCAGCAGCGGGGTCAGAGAAACGGCGCATCAAATTAGTCCATTTGTTCATAAATAAACATTTATGTAAGAAGCCTTTTTGTCACCTTGGCAACAGGCAGGTTGTTTACTTGGCTGCTGTGGCCATGACAAACACATTTGCGCAGGCATCCGTGGGCTCGGCAGAGGAAAGGCTTACGTTTATTGAGGAAACGAGGCTGCTTCTCTTAAATGTCACTTTTTCTTTGTTCCTTAGAATAATTCACTCAAACGGGATTCGTATTTTCGCCGATTCTTCCTCTTTTAGCTTCCACCCCACATCACAATCATTTGAATTCTAGTCCTGTGAGTAATGTATTACTCATGATTGCCGAAGTACATTAGCTCCTTTACTTCACGCTTGTTATCCTGCATTGAGCTCTCCAATATGAGCACTCCATTCCCATTTTTAACACTATTATAAATAACAAATTATAAGTTTGGGTATTTATTAATAACTTATTGTACACATTAATGTACAAAGGTTTGGGGTCGGTGAGATTTTTTTTGCACATTTTTGAAAGAAGTCTCTTATGCTCACTGAGGCTGCTTTTTTTTTTTTTTACTGGAAATATTAGTTCCCATTTTAAAAACTTTTCTATTTTAATTTTAGAATGCTGTTTATTCCTGGTGACAAAGTTGAATTTTTTCAGTGTCACATGATCCTTCACAAATAATATGCTCTAATATGCTTATTTAGTATTCTAGAAAATACTGCCCTCCATCATTTGATCATCAAAAGTCAAATTTAAAAGGATGAAACTATAAAAATTAATTATTGTATTAGCTAGAGTGTAATATAATACTCTTAGGTCTGTTTAAGATCTTTTTATACTAATATCTAATAAATCAACAGCCCGTTGTCAATTATTCCTTTATATACACATACATACATACACACACACAAATTTAATATCAAAGTTAATACCAAATTATAATAATATAAATCATTAATATCAAGATATCATCAAATTATAAAGATAATAATTTAGTTATATCAAAATCAAACCAAACCAAATTAACATGTAACAATTTATTTTTATTTTTTGCCAAGTTTACTGTTTAAATTTAAACATGGATGAAACTTTTGATTAAATATAATCTTAAATATGTTTTAATAATTTGATTATTATTACTATTAGTATTATTTATACTTCAAGAAGTACATTCTGCTGTGCAATAATATTTTTCTGTTATTTAAAAAAAAATTTTTATTATGGTTTGTTTTTTGTTTGTTTTAAATCCATTGCACAGAATTCCATGGACTTTCCCCCCAAATCCGGATTCCATTTAAGCCTGCTGATGAGACATAACAACTGTGATCTGTCTCTCTCTCTCCCTTATTCTTGCACACAATATGGGGACTAGATTGGCCAATATATCAGCCAGGCTGAAGAATCTGCCAATATTTGGGAGATTGTGAGATAATCAGCTATTGTGAGATAACGGGCAGTTCAGTGTTTCTACTTAGCCAGACGAAGAATGTTAGAACTTATAATTAGAATTGACATACTGTATGTATGTATGTATATATATATATATATATATAGACAACACCCTTGTCAATGAGTAATATACATTGAGCGTGCTTACATGTGTGCGATTATTTAAATACAGACATAATACTTAACCACTAATGGTGATCATACAGTTGTCACCGCATTGTAAACCAAAGCTCCAATTATCCAAAGGAATAGCTGACCCCTTCTTTATACGTCTACTTTTCTTGTTTTCCCCTACACTGACTGCTCCCATTGTCACAAACCTCAAAAGCTCATTACCGCAACTCAGTTGCTTTTGTTTCCAGTAATCTCTGTGCTTTCCCTCTGTGGATTTTAACAGGTCATTTGCCATGCTGCTGGGGGCTGAAGGGTGGCCAGAGCTTTGAAGCCGAGCAGGACTTCTCTGCCTTCTTCCAAAGTCATTACAGAGCACTATGGGGTCTCTCGCAGATCAAATATCTGCCTGTGCATTCCTGTGGTCATGCTTTTTCCTTTGAGCAAATACGTTTGAAGCATATCTGCGGATTCTCCAGAGTTTTGGCCTGAAACATTTGCAGTGGATGGAAGTTTCAGAGGAAGCCAAATTAAATGAACTGTATCTGAGAGCCTCATTCAAAGTCAGACCCACACCCGTCCTCCCAAAACACACACACACACACACACAAACAAGGTACAGTATGGGGAAAATATTCGCCCTCACATTCCATGGCTCAAATCATTGTACAGTATGTTTACAACTACTACAAACTTGAATAAATTCAACTTAATATAATAATAAATAAAACTTTACAGTTTACAATAACTTTTTAATGACATGATTTGATTTGACTTGATATTTTTAAGCATTTTTTACTTGATATTTAGAAGCCTTTGATTGAACGGGAAAATGTTAGACTATGATATTGGTTATTATTATATTTTCCTGCTCACATGGTTGTGGCTACATCAACAGAAAAGTCGTTTCATAGATGGATAAACTTAATACGATTTGATTTAGAAAATTCATATTCCCAGGAAAGGTCTAAAAAGGAAAGCATTGTTTTCTTTAGTATAATGTGCACTTATGAATCATATAAAATAAAACCAGAGACATTTGTAAAGAAAGCAAATAGGGTCGGTTTTGATTTCATATTACC